CATGTTTGGCAAGGGCTGTGATATTTTAGCGCATCGGCCTTCTGTTCTAAGAACACTGTTTTTGTTACTTGGACATGATTGGGTTCTAAAACATGTCGCGGTAAGCCTATAGGAATGCCGGGACGGTCGGTCCCTGCTGAATTTCTTCTCTGGCGATTGCTGTTGTCAGTCGAATTTGAAGATATCGGCTCGCGCCGCGTGCTTTCCGACCACGCTGCCAAAAGTTGTTTGGCGAATCTTGGTGTCGTTCATCGCCTATTTGGCCTCAGCCCAAGCTTTCTTGATGATGTGATTCAGCTCGACGGTTTCCTTCCCCGCCCGCCACCTTCCTCTATGGAGGCCAGTGGAGGCGCAGGCTGCGCGGAAAAACGGCGCGACGACATGCTCGCTGACCTCCACGTTCGCAGTCGCCGTGACGAGCTCCTCTCCGAGGGCCTCGTTCTCGCCGGGCGCCGTGTAGAGCCTGGCCAAGAAGTGGAGCGCCGGCGCCCCAGCGCCATCTGCGGGCAAGGCGGGGGGGGGGGGCAGCCATAGCCGAAGACCATAGGCCCACGTAGGGGAGGCGCCCGGAAGACCGTGGGTCGGCGGAGAGGAGGCGAGTAAGAGACGCGGCGAGGACAGGCGATGGCGACGAAGTCGACGGTCTGATCGTTTCTTGTCGGCGGTGGCTCGAGCCGCCGCCGATGGGGTCAGCCGATCGAGCAACCTGCCCGATGTGCCCTGACCGCTGCGACGGCATCGCCCATGTCGCACTGCAGGTCTGAGAGCCGAACCATGGTCTTGAGCTCTGTGCTCCCCGACGATGCCCCACGGGGGGGGTTCGGTGCACGTTGGCACAGGTCGGACAATATTGGCCACGCCACCTCGCACTGCCAGGGGAGCAATCGCCAGTTCCAACCACTGGTCGTGAACGACCCAGGCGCTTGTCACGCAGTCCGAGTAACCTCGTGCAGGCGCCCGTCCGCACAGATTCTCGTGAACGGAGTGCTGCAACTGGCCTTGCAGGCTCGGGCGGCGGCGAAGTGCCCCGCGCCCGCGTTCATGTGCGACTCGAGCCCCGTGTCGCGCATCAAGGGCACGTTGGCTCGTTGGCACAGGTCGACGTTGAACTTCTTCTGAGCGCTCCTCGTGGAGTCGCGTGGACACATCTCGAAGCACGCTGCTGTGTCGAGCCCCTTCGGGTCGCAGGCCCTTGCGATGATCTTCGCGAGGCTTCTGTCTGTGAAGGTTGCATGCGTTCAGCCCGGCTTGCCCCTGGTGCTCGTGTGCGCCAGTGCGCTGTTCGCCAAGAGCATGCGCCCCGTCACAGTGTGCTCCGTGTCGAGGATCTCGGAGATGTCCCCGCATGCTGTGATCGAGGGGGCCTGGCCGCGTCGATCATCCGTTTCGCGTGTGCTGGCGATTGGTCCGGGTAGCCGTGCACCATCTTCATATCCATGACGGTATCGGATCTCGCGGGTGGTGAGCCGTCGAAGCCGATACTACGCGCGGCAGTCTTGGTCAGCCGAAACAGTTCTCTTCACGCCAATGGGACAAGGGACAGTCCCCCGCAGTCACATTGGACAAGCACTGGCACCGAACGCATTCCGGGGGACTGGCGGCCTCAAGATGGCCCGAGGTGCCTCCAGGATGGCTCGATGCCTCCCAAGACGCCTCTGGTCTGAATGTTCCTCAGGTGCCTCCAAGATGGCCACGTGCATCCACGGTGGCACTGCATTGTTCTTCTACGGTTTCTGCAATCGTCGCGAGAGAGTCAATGCTTGGCGAGACGTCGCCGTTGGTTGTTTGCGCGCGCCGACCTATTGGTCGCCGCGTCGCAGGCGCACGCGGATCGAGCCACTGCCGCTTGTGCCCCTGAGCTGCTGTGGAGGTTGATACACGTCCCGCGCCTGAGCTGGACTCCTCCATGGATGTGGACGTCCATGTGGGAGATGGAGACGGCGGGCGTCAGCGCGACAGTGGCGCGGTGCACCGTCGTTGAGTAGCTGACCGTCATGGAGGCTGACGTGAGCGAATCGTGGAGGCCCGCAACGGCGCACAACGAGCAGCAGCGTGCAGCGCAAAAACACAGCGGCCATGTGTTGCGCCGTCGACGCGTGCCTTCTGTGCAAGAGTGTCGCCTGCGCGACGATGGTTCTAGACAACCGGTCTAACGTACAACAAGTCCTACACATATTTGTAAGTTGTGGCAAGCTTGTCACAAAGCCAAAATCATTCAAGTGGGGTCGTCTGTGGAGCTCCCAATCCGACCACGGAGTGTGTGAGGGGTGTGCTCAAATGAGTGTGGTGGGCGCATGCGAACGCAACCATTGGTGCCGTCGGTGGAGCTCCGTATGGGGCCACGATACTTCTAAGTGGTGTTCCAAATTGGGTGTGGTGGGTGCGTCTGCGATAGGCGCACGCGAACGCTGGCATTTGGGCCGTCGATGGAATCCCTATGGGGCCACGGAACGTGTGAGGGGTGTGCGGTTCACTGGTGCGGAGGGCAGAGGCATGGATGAGAGGGGGGAGGAGGAGCGGGAGGAGGTTGTGGGAGGGACGCGGGGCGTTGTCTCTTCAAAACGAGGGCCCGACACCACAGGATGGTTGGGAATTACATTTATGGACACAACGTAATGAATACTTGAGTCGGGGAAGCGCCTGATCCAAAAGCAGGGATTCGAAGGCGACAAGCTAGGAATTCTATACATCGCGCAATGGTACTGTCTCCATGTTCGGCGGGGGTCCGAACTAGCTTCGATGGGCCTTGCCTTCGCGGATTCGTTGTTAGCTGCAGTTAAGGGTCTGAACTTTGAGAACACGTGCGCGACTCTGTGGTTTCTGAAACTCAGGGCCGGCTTGCTTGGTCCTGGGTGACTGGGCCTGAAGACTTGGAGGTGCCAGGACCCGTGGAACGACCGAGAAGATTGAGTGTCGGGCGCGCGGTTGCGAAGCTGCAAGTCTGTTGCAGCCGTGCGAAGGGTCGGTGCCGAAAGAAGCACTAGCAGGGGCGCGCTTCAATTGGCCAGGGGCATGGCCTCGAGGCGGCCCGTGAAATCTACAGCCATTCAGTCAAGACACTCCCTACGCGATTTGCTTGGGTTGACATCCAGAGCAGGCGGCAAGGGCAGCAGCGCTTCTCATAGCATGGGCAGGGTTCTTTGCTCGAGTCGTTCGGATTCCGACGATCAGTCCTTTCTTGAGACAGAGCTCGTCTGAGCCGATGACCGACCGGCCGGCCAGTCACGCTGCTGACCTTCTGCTTGGTTGTCCAGTCCTCATCCCATCCGCCGTTGTAATTAATGATATTACCCGCCTGTGCCTCTGAGAGCTCCTGCCGAGAGGCGGAGCCGAGCGCAGTCCAGCACGTAGAGGCGACGAGTTTTAGATGGCAGTGGCTTTGAGACGGCACCTGCGAGTCAGCTTTTGAGAATTGGGCTGAAGTCCGCCGCCATTCATAACCCCTATAGTCACATGTGCGCGTGATCAGATTGTATGCTCGCCGCACTTTGTCTGGAGCGCAGCGGTGTTGCGGGGGGAGAGGATGAGAGGTAGGAGGCTATGCTGATGAGCGTGAAGAGAAAGAGACACCTACGCCGGTGGTGGAGAGGGTAAGGGTTGATAGATAAGGGGGAATAAGGAAGGCCGATTGTGAGGATGAAGAGGAAGATGATCTGGGGGAGGAGGTCGAGGAGGAGGAGGAGGCGAAGTGAATAAGGAGGAGAGGATGTTGAGGAAGTGGAGGAGGAGGAGGAGCATCTGACAGAGGGTAATCATGCAGGCGAGACTAGATCAACATACTTTTGGGAAGAAGACGGGAGGGGAGGAGGAGGTTGAGGAGGACGAGGAGTGGACTACAACGACGAGCAGGTTGATGACGTATGCTGAGGATGACGAGGAGCATGCTGTGAGGTAATACTGAGGACGATTTATGCACATTGGAGAGGAGAATAAGGAACATGCTGCTGCGTTGCTTTCTGTTTGCAGCGCGTCCACTATCGTCTATCAGTGCCGAATTGTCGAATCCCGTCAGCATACCCGACAATGACCCAGTAGTCGAGGAGGGAGATGGCGAGTTTGCATCTGAGGCTCGGAGCCGCATCGACGAGTTCTTGAATGAGAAGTTCGCGTATGTGCAGGAGGGCTTGGAGCAGGAAGAATTCGAAGTCTGTCGCCAAGGCGACAGAGGGGGGAATTGAGGAGGGATAGTTGCACCTGCAGAAGGGGCAGAGGGAGACAGTTTTTTCCTCCCTTATCCTCCTCGTCGAATGCTTGACGTAAACCAGACGATTACGATACATTCGCTATAGCAGCGTGCTTCCCTGGAACAGTCGGGTGATACCCCGATTTGAGACCAGATGATAATTTCCGTTGCCATTGCCCTTTGTGCGTGTAACGATGGGGAAGTGAGTTGCTGGGTTGCGGCAGTTTCCCAAAGAGCTATTGCGCAGTTCGCGTGGGGGCAACAGCACTCAAAGAGAGACGTCCCCACCAAAGTTGCGTTACTGAAACCCGAAAACGAGTGAATGCAATCATACTGGACAATTCGGAGACGCCCGTCTTGTGTTCTATTGAGCTCATATGTTCCATGTCGGGAGACTTTGGAGGTGCTGTTGGGCGGTTTCTGTGGCTTTCCTGTGGGTTTCTCGTAAGCTTGTTGGGGGCCTTTGAGGGCCTCTTCAGGGCTGTCTTGGACCATCCTGGGGTGCATCATGGCTATCTTAGGTGTCTGAAAATCTGCTGTCCAGGTCTGAGAGATGGCAGCCAAGCGGAGACCCTGGACCTTGTGCTTAGCTGTCCTTTTGTCTACAGCACGCGAGCTACAGTTGCAATCCTGCTGCAGTCGAACGCGCATGCGTTCGGAAATCATGTGTCACAGCTCCGCCCACGGTCCACGACAAGTGACATTTCTGGCGGTTGCAGCTATAGATTGGCCCTCGGCCCACCTTGCCACGTCGTGACTTCAGATTGGCGGAACAGACGGGACCATTACCGCCATGCGCCCACAGAGCCTTGCGGGGACAGCGTTTTTAAGAGAAGCCCCCCTCCCCTCCGCTGCATGTTCGGGTAGACTCAGATATCATTTCGCGCGTGTCGAGCGTGGGTCCATCTCGGTTGCGCGCGACGGGAGGTGCCCTCAGTCGTCGGGGCTTCCAACGATGGCTTGCAATCGGGCCTCCGAAGCGTTATTCTTCGAATGGCGGCCTACAAACCTCGCACCACCATGCCATCATATTTTTTGAGGGGGGCGTCGCTAGAGGCTGAATGAAGAGGTGCGCAGCTGGCCCGATTCTGAGTGCCACCTGATCGCCATGTGGTGTTCTGGTTATACCGAACCTGGCTGGCGTCCTCGTGCCGCTGGTTCCACGAAGCACCGGAAAGGGTCTGAGTCCAGGGTTCTCTTTAAGCAGGTAAATTGTCCTTGGTGCCGAGTTCGAAGAGGGTTGGCGGATTTTGTTGCGGTAAATAGCGATATCGAGAGAGCTGGTAGGTTAGATGTTGAGGATGTCCCGAGCGACACGTTGGTTTTTGGAATTCTGACAGATAAAGCATGGTGAAGTGAACATGTTCGTTTGTTGCTGATGTCTAGAGCGAAACGCTTGTTTCGCAGAATTTGCTGATGGTGTCTCGAGCGAAATGCTTGTTTTATAGTTTGCTACCCTGCTGGGGGGGCAGAACTTGGGCATCTAACATGGTGGTCCCGAGCTGGAGCCACGTGTTGTCACGTGACCAGGCCGCCCAGAGGGGTATCTAACATGGTTGTCCCGAGCTGGATGTCCGTCTTTCCACGTGTCCAGACCACCCAAGGGCGATATCGAACATGGTGGCCCCGAACTGGAACCACGCGTTTTTGCGTGTCCAGGACACCCAGGGGGGCATCTAACATGGTTGCCCCTTGCTGGGACCACGCGTTTTCACGTGCCCAGGCCACCCAGACGGGTGTCTAATATAGTTGCCTCGAGTTGAGCCACGTGTTGTTTACGTATGCGGGCCAGCCGAGGGGGGTATATGACATGCATGTGGTCGCATGGGCGCCCCTAGTGCAGGGGCCCGCAAGAGCCAGACAAGTCAATCCGCCAACGCCAGATATGCAATAGCTTGACACAGTTTCTTCGGCTGGTGAGTTTCCAGATTCTACAGGCTTACGCCACATCCGCCGACCCCTTCTGTGACTGTTGCGAGGCCAGGAGTTTCTGGCCAGCGGCGTCTTGTGTGAGGGTGCGGTGTCGCGCGCGGGTGGTGGCAGATACGTATGGGGGTCCACATGTTTGCGTGATGCCGGTGGTCTGGGGCGTGTTTTGCGAGCGCTTTGCGTGCTGTGCACCCGGGTGCGGGGTGTCCTTCTGGGAGGTCGGCCTTTCGCCCCTCAACCAAGTGGAGGAGCACTGGAAGACGAAAGGAGCAAGAGTAGCGTGCGGAAGCTGTGATCAGCGAAGCATCACCGCGAAAGATGTGGCAGATGAGTCGAAACGGGTGAAGAGGCTGTTGACGTTCGCAGCGCGCACGAAACAGTTCGCGTAGCAGCAGCACGTCGCGTAGCACAGCGCCGAGCAAGATTGTGAGCACGCCGCGAGGAAGAGCAAGGCTGCATGCGCGGAGTGCATTGCAGTTGGCTTGACGGCTCGCAATGCGGAAGCGTCTGGTGGTCTTTTGGAGGCCTCCTGGGGGCCTATTGGGGGCTCCTTGGGGCGTCTTGGCGGCCTCTTGGGGGCCTCTGGCGGCCTCTTGGGGCACTCTTGGGGCCCCCTGGGGCTCGTGGGGGCGGGAAGCTAGATTTTTGAATTTTTGGTTGCCCTCTTGGGCCCCTCTTGGTGCCGTCTTGGATCCTTCTTGGACCGTTTTGGGGACCTCTGGGGGCGTCTTGGGGCCATATTGGGCCGTCGTGGGGCCGTCTTGGGGGCCTCTTGGGCTGTCTTGGGGCGGTCTTCAGGGCACGAGACGAATTTGTGAAAACTATACGTTGTACGAAGGAAAGGAGCATTTTTT